AGAACCCCACACACCCTAGGTGATTTTTCGTTCCAAAGTATTAATCGGGTACAGGCCCCAAGCGGCTCGGAGGAGATCGATGACAAAAGAGGCTTATTGGAGTGCTCAGCTGTTCTCTTTGGCACCCCATGGTTTAAAGTAAAAAAAGAAGGAATTTCATTCGAAAAACAGAATTTGCTATAAATAACTTTCCATCCCATATTAGACGTTACTGATTAATCGTTCAAAGGCTCTTTTCTCGGATTTCGTCAGCCTTTTACGTGTTGATTAGACTCAAATGCTCCTTTAAGGGATCTTATTATGAATAATACTATTCAAGGGCACCTCCAGGGATTTCGTTGTTAATTTGCCCTTTCGGGCTCCAAAGGCCTTGTTTGTGAATTTCGTACGGTTTACAGTGTAAGTAAGGGTGGGTCTATCCTCTTCTAATACTTGCCGCACTGCTTCTTTAAACGCAATTCGTTTTAGAAAATTTAGTTTTTTAGTTTTTTAGCTTTTTTAGTTTTTTAGTTTTCAGTTGTTCCACCGCCAGTGAAAGTGTCTTTCCACAAAATGGGATGGATCGATGAAGCAGGTAACCTAAAATCGCTTCGGATTTCTTGCACAAATTATCGGTCCATTTTTAAGAACTGCGAACGAGTGAGATTCAGCACAAATTATCAGTCAATTTTTAAAAAGGGGATACAGTGGCTTACTAGTTTTCTTTTTTTATTTCTTCTAGGTGTTAAGGAACGGATCCGCGCATGTCTACCAAGAGGTCCAACGGCTGAGGGGTCGTTGCTGGTTTGGGATTCATTCCGTGCTCACCTGAAAGAGCCAGTTAGGGAAGATTTATGGCGGCGAACGATCGACATAGCAGTGATTTCCTGCGGCTTAACTCCAGTGCTGCAGCCTTTGGACAAGTGCCCCAGCAAGCCGTTCAAAGACAACATGCGAAGACACTACCTTTCTTGGTTGATAACAGGCTCCTTCGATTTTACCGCAGCAGGCAAGAAAAAAGCTCCTTCTTGAAATCTGGTCTTGGATAAAGCAAGCCTGGAGCGATATTCCCGATGAGATGGTGAGGCGATTCTTTAAGACTCGAGGCATCTCCAACGGAACTTGACGGAACAGAAGACGATGCCATCTACGACTGTCCTGAAATTGATGCAGGTGATGAGGAGGTGAAAGAAGAATTCGATACGGATAGCGAAGATGATGATGAACGCTGATGACGACGAGGACTTCGGTGTAAACACATTTAATCTAACAAACGGCTCCTTTAAGAGCCACCACATTCTTAAAAGTTAATAACCAATGATTACATATTGTGTTTCTTTACTTTAGCTCAGCTTATAGGTAAATACGATCCGATTTAGTAGAGTTTCCATGTGTTGGAAAAAAATTTTTTCCTAACCTTTCGGCTTTAAGCCGATACCCCCTCTAGCGCGCAAATTTTAATCCACTTCAGTTGTAGTTTTTGTAAAAATTCGTTCGGCTTATAGTGGAATAAATACAGTAGTGTGGGTGAGTTAATTTGGGAATATATTCCAACTTGGCATGTGTGGGTCAGAATAATTGTGTGTTCTGGCAGCTAGTGACCTCTAATCAAAGTAGTGAACAGCAGAAATGGACAATTTTTACCATTAGATAGTGATGAATATTGCAGCCAGTTTACAGACAGGATTGTTATATTTCTTATGCGTGAACACCTGCACAAGAAGCAAACAGTCCTGCAGAAGTAGTTATACATATATTTCTTCCTAGTATCACGGTACAGAAACAAATACCTTACTCTAGTCAGCGAGCCACAAAAACATGTATCCAAGTGCTTGATGAACCATATACATTGTGTACAGTAAATTTTCTCCACTAAACATGATCTTGTTATGGTTTTGCGCCCTTCAATCTTTCTAAGAGTGATGAAGTGT